TTGCGAGCAACTGATTACGTAGATCAATAACATTTAAGTTCCTCGATCTAGCAGAGGAAATAATCCAGCCGAAATCCCTACAAATATCTGCAACAGTAGAATGTAAAGGAATAAACGGCAAGGACCAGAATTTCCAAACATGTCCCATAAGATCCCGAGAGGAGACCAATTATCGAACCAGGATCTTGCCATACAACCATCACCAAGATTGCAGCTCATGAGAGCTTTTGCCATTAGCCTCAAACCCAAAAGAAATCTACAAATCCAACTTACATTTGCATGGCCTTCCACTGACCAATAGCCACACCTCTTGAAATAGTGTTCTTTAGTCCAAGCCACCCACAGGGAGCCAGCGTTGGAGAACATAAGCCAGACCAGACGTAAATTAAGATCCTTATTCCAGACCAAAAGGTTTCTCAGACCTAAACCACCCTCAGATTTTGGGAGACACACTATAGACCAAGAAACCTTAGTTGCAGTAGACTTTGTGAGATCACCTGACCAGAGGAAACGGTTGCATAATTTTTCAATCTCTTTTAAGCAACATTTAGGCAAAGCAAAAGCAGAGAACCAGAAGTTGACCAAACTGCAGATAACTGCAGAGAAAAGTTGAAGTCTCCCTCAAAAAGATAAGAACTTAAGAGTCCAAGAATTGAATTTCGCCTTAATTTGGTCAAGTAAAGGAGAGTGAGTCAGCTTCTGACTGGTTCATTCCTGCATAAAAAAGAGAAGTTTTCTCTTTATTCATCATCAGTCCCGAGAGCAGCTGAAATCTGTCCAAAGTATAAGTGATTTCCTGAAGAGAGGAGTCCTTACCCTCAAAGAAAAGCATTATATCATCCGAAAAATCAAGATGGGAGATCTTTGGGGTTCCTTCCAAGTGGGTGGTAACCAATAGCATCGGCCTCATACTTGACAGATAATAAGTTAGCAAATATCTCCATAGCCAATAGGAAAAGAGGAGGGGATAAGGGGTCTCCCGGATGAAGACCTCTCCTACCTTTGAAGTAACCACAAAGCTCACCGTTGACATTAATAGAGAAGGATGTAGTGGTCAAACACTGCATAATCCAGTTAGAGAAGATTGGAGGAAAATCTGCAGCTTCAAGAACCTGACTAATAAAGTCCCAAGTAACAGAGTCAAAAGCCTTGTGCAAATCAACTCTTAAGAGCTCTTGGAGTGATAGATGCACGATCAAAACCATGGACCATTTCAGTGGCCAATAACACATTTTCAACAAGTAGTCAATCTTTAACAAAACCAGACTGAGAATTAGAGATGATACTAGGCAGGAGAGACTCTAGCCTTCTTGCGAGAATCTTAGAGACCACTTTGTAGCTAACATTACAGCAAGAGATGGGACAAAAATCACCCAGCTTCACAGCACTGTCAACCTTAGGAACAAGGGTAATAGCAGTAGCGTTCCATTTTTTAAGCATCAGTCCATAAGAAAAGAATTCCTTGACAGCCCGAGAGAGATCATCACCAGTAATATCTCATGAGGCTCTAAAGAACTCACCAGTGAAGCCGTCAGGATCAGGAGCACGATTACGAGGAAGAGCAAACACTTCTCTTTTAATATCGGAAGTAGAAATATCAGCTGAAAGACTTTGCTTTGCAGCTTCATCACATTTAAAGGGAGTGATAGTCTTTATTAAAGCTTTGTCTTCCGCAGAAAGGTCAACATGAACTCTTCCAAACAAATCACTGAAAAAATCAACGAAGTGGAGCTTGATATCATCAATTTTCTCAAGTTTCAAACCATCATTATCAAACAGGTAGTGAATATGATTAATAGCTCTTCTAGTAGCCACCATCTTATGAAAATAAGCGGTGTTGCTGTCACCACAATCCACCCATTTAATCATAGAGCTCTGCCAAAGAAACTTTTCCTCAGCCAAGGACAAGGTCAACCATGAAGAATGAGCCTGCTTCTCTAAACCGGCCGAGAGAGGGGAAGGGTTAGACAAAACTTTGTTCTGACAATCAAGCAACTTGGAATGAGCCTCCTTTACCCGATTTTCCATATCAGAGAAGTGATCCCTGTTAAGGTCCTTTAAAACAATCTTCAATAATTTCAACTTCCTAGAGAAACGGAACATATATGATCCCTCAACATGAGTTTCATACTAATGAATAGCCACACTTGGCAGAAACTCCTGAAAAACAAAGTGTGAGATCTTAAAAGGAACCTTAGGTCTCATAGTCGTTCCCATGATCAAGCAACAAGGTCTATGATCAGAGACATCCATATCACCAAAATCAGCATAAGAGGAAGGAAAATAAGCCAATTACCATTAACCATAACTCTGTCTAGCTTCTTAGCAATAAGGTTAACTACTTGGTTATTCCACCAGGTGTATAGATTTTCTCTAAAGGATAAGTCAAACAAATCAGCAGATAAGAGACAGTTCCTGAACTCCGAGATCTCCATAGAGATTCTAGTGCTCCCAGAAGAAGACTATGAAGGATTGAGGATTTTATTAAAATCTCCCGAAACGGCCCAAGGCTATGAAGATATAACAGGGTCACTAGCAAGCACCATAATTTCTTTCCAAAGATCTCTTCTTCCGTATTTAGAGTTGGTTGCATAGACAAAAGAAACAACCACTTCTACAAAAGAGTTAGGTAGATGCACAATACAAGTGATTATTTGCTTTAACTTTGAGTGGATGGAGAGCTTCACCGTATGATCCCATACTACCCAGATCCTGCCTAACGCAGCAAACTCATAGTTGCCTGCAAAATTCCAACCCGGAAAAACTGATTTAATATACTTTTGAGACTTATGCAAACGCACACGAGTCTCTACTAAACTACCAAAAGAAGGCTTGTTTAGCCTTAACTATCTCTTAAAGCTATTACGCTTTATAGATTGATTGAAACCTCTTATATTTCAACAAAAGTTGTCTATCATGATTAATGACTTTTAGACAAGGGGCTCTTCCCCGTGGCATTTCTTTCCTGCCTTCTTTCTTTTTTAGAGAGCACTTTAGTAAAAGAGATTTCCTCTTTCTCTGAGACTTCACCTTCTCCAGAGCTAGATTCCGAGGAAGAAGATTCAACATAAGAATCAGAATCAAGCACTCATCACTTTTTTATTTTGATTAATGTACACTCTTAGACAACTGCAGATGTAAAAAAAATTTTTCGAATAAATTTTACATTTTATTTTTTAAAAAAACATAAGAATCAGAATCAGACTTCACCTTGTTTGTTTGATATTTTTGATTTCTGATATTTATTTATCTCCAATTCTTAAAATGAATTCTTCTTTATATGAAGCAATGACGTTCTTAATTTTTTTGTTTATGTAATCATATATATGAAATGTGAAAGGATCCATGAGAAAAAATAGAACGAGTAAGTTGGGTGTAAAGTATAAAGATATAACAACCGAAATGCATTTAAGATTTTGAAATTTATTAATTGTAAAGTCTCGTCACATATTGTTTATGAATAGCAACCAGTCATAAATCCCACGCGGTGTTTTGAAGAAGTAAGTTAATTTCCAAAACCTTCGTTTTAGACTTCTAATATTGGACACCTACAACATTAATACTTATGAAAACAATAAGCTTGGCGGCACACTCAACTTTGGAAGGTTGTAAAAGAAATTAACAAACCTCAATTATTGAATCTTGATCTTAATTCAACCTCCCCTTTACAAATAGGAAAGTGTATTCCAACAATTGCAGTTTTCTTAAAAAGTTGTTGAACCCTTAGAAACTATTGATTCAATTAAATATCTAATGTTAGCGAATAAAATTTATCAAACAAATTGATTAAGAATAGACCTTTCGCAAAGGCGCAATGGTGATCAAATCAAAATCTTTGCGTGTTCTGTGCAGTAGAAAGTCTCTAACATATCCACCGACCAAGTAAAAGTGAAAGAGAAGACTGAATTTAAATAACATACCACACAAGTAAGAAGCACAAAGGTCTGCTCGAATCAAGGCAATCCCTCAGAAAAAGCATACATTAACTTCTGAATTTACATAAACGTAAAACCATTATTTTCAGAATTCTAAGTCACTTGGAAAGAATATCACATGATTTTTTTTTTTTTAAAGGTCATAAACAACAAGAAGCAACTGCTAGGACAATCAGACCATAGCAAAGAAAATAAAACATGTGATCCGAAGATTATAAGTTATAGAAAAGGATACAGGTGATTAACATAAAATCGAAACCAAAATGCTAAGTACATGATCAAACATATAAGTAATTAAAAAAAAAAACAGTTCATTAGAGATAAATTGAAAAGAAAAACATGTGATGAAAACATCACGAATACGTTAGGATAATCCTACGAAAATTCTTCTAGGAAATTGTTTTTACAAAATACCTATGCAATTTTGACGAAAAATAAAAAGTTTACGAAAATTAGTAGAAAATTTCAAACGAAAAATTGCCGTTAGAAAGTGGTCAGAAATTTTCTTCCAATTTCCTAGGACACTCTTGTCCGTAAGATATTCTGTAGAAAATTGGTAGAACTTTGGTTATATAGATCATCTTATTTATTATCTAAATTCATTTCTATGCAAAAAACGAAGAGTAATGTCGTATTATACTAAAAAAAAACGGTGGACTATACATAAATAAAAAGGTTAAAGACGGGTCTAAGTTAATCATATTTCTTCGTTTTAAGCTGCTAGGGAAATTTTCATATGAAAGAAGCCAAAACCAAGCAAAGATCTATTTTTCATTCCCAAATTGGAAAATTTATTGTCATATGTTTTGTTGTCAAATTAGGACATGTCGATCTAGCTACTTAAATTCCACCTAAATTTTGGTTATCTACTGCAATTTGTCTTTAAACAAAAATATAATTTTTAAAAATAAAGGAAGAGATTGAGAAAAGACGAAACAAGAAGAAGAAGAGGTGGTTTGGTCAAAAGATCCCGAAAAGAAAGCAATAACACATAATTCACACGCTTCTCACGTACAATCGCCACCTCTTTTAATCACTATTTCTGCATGGCTATAAGAAAGAATCTCTATTCATTTTTTGACAACAACCAAAAAACTCTCTTCGTCAACGACAAAAGCGTTCACTCTTCGTTCACGTCGGGGAATTTAAAAAATCTCCTTCGTAACAAAAAGAGAAAGATCAAGAAGATTGTCGTGATGGCTGCCGGATCCATGGACGGAATATTCCGCAACATTTTCGAAGGTTGCATCTCTAGCTGCGACTCTTCCATCCAACGACGTCCATACCACAAGAACTGCGGTTGCGCGCTTCACGAGAGATCTCGCGGTGGAGGTTCAGCGACCCCTTGTCGTCATGGAAGGTCTGAGGTCATTATGCTCCCAATCCAACGGTCTTGGAGTGAAGGAAACAGTTTGGCTCTGCATCTTGCCTCATCTTCTTCTTCCTCTAACCTCCAGTCAATTTCGTCGTCTTCGTCTATTTCTACCCTCGCATCGTTATCTTCGACCGTGTCTGATATTGATTCTCCCATTTAAGGCAAAAACTATTAGTTCCCATTCATTTAATTGTGTCTTTTATTTGTTTTTTTTTGAAGAGAGTCAAATTATGTTTGAGTGTGATTGGAAAGGTTTTCATGGATTTCCTTGGATATCAAAGGAATCTAATTCAAATGTTGTAATATAATAATGGCCAATTATAGAGAGCCTTTTCACTAAAATTTGTACAGAATCATGTTTTTGGGTGTAATTAGTCTCTTTTTTCTTTGTATACATGAATGTAAACTTATATTCATCAAATATAATGAATGCAACATTAAGATCTGAGATTTTGAATTGAAAGCAAAAGAATTAGTTTTAGTTTAATTTTTGTAATACGATCTTCAAGCTATTTCTTCTTGTTTTATGTCTTTGGTTTCCACTGTCTTCATATTGTTTTGATTATACATTCTAATGTAGAGTTGTTGAGCGACTTGATTAGATTGTTTCTTCCAAGAAAACAAAAAGAAACAAAGATTGTGTCTGGAAAATATTTGTTTACTAGATAAATTAATATACTTTTATTCTATGGTTAAAAAAATGTTGCTCACGTAAACAAATATTCATTATATTTTTAAATTAATATTAAGCTGTTGAGAAACAAAGAGGAAATCTAATTTGGTGAAGCTATTGAGAAGCTCGCTTATTTTTTGATTTTATATTTCTGGTTCTAGGTGTAGTCAAAATCTAAGATCTCTCAGCTATTTGCTCTAAAATCTCTATCACAAATGAAAAATTCAATAGAACCATTAGGAATCCTAAACTAATTTTGAAATTTTGTGTCGAACTAGGAAAATTGAGCAAATACATGTTTATTGTGCGGGCCTAGTTTAAAAATTAAATATCCCAAAGCCCAACAAAAGGTTTAAGAAAGTCAATGAGTTCAATATTGTCACGTGAATAACACGTGTTAGGTTTTCTTCTTTCTCCGAAAACCTAATTATCAACTTCGAGAATTTTAGTATATGAGGCTCATCATCATCTCGTCTCTTCGTGTAGAGCTAACAACGCCGTTATTTGATTTTATTTGATTCAGACAGTTCTAACAATTTATGGTTTTTGTCGGCCCAAACTTTCCACGTGAGAACTTTCTCTGTCCCTTCATCACAAGGGAGCCTACTTTCAATCTTTGATATCATGCTTTAGATTTTCTGAAAACTACCTTGTCACAGAACAAAGGTAATGGTGGAGACTAAACAATTGATCGGTCTTAAATGGGAACCAAAGCTTCTAGGCTTATCCTTAAGACCCGAAAACTGGTTCTAGTTCAAGCAAAGGAATTAAGAGTCACGAGCTCGTTGATGGTCTTTGTGTTCAACCTAATGATCCAAGGAAGATTAACAAAATGATTAAAAATTAACTCAAAGACACCACCGCTGGTTCAGACTGGTAACTTTTTTTTTCCACTACTTAGATTATATATTTACCATTCCTTGTTTGATACGAAATTACAAACTTGTGGATAGGTTTGATATGCCTGCACCTACACTGACTCCCGTATTGAAAAGAGATCTTCAGTTTCTTAAGGTATTAATCTTCTATGCTTCTCTGATTATGGTTTGAAATTCCTAACACCATTCAATTTTTTTTTATCTCTACTGTAGTTGAGAACTGTAATGGATCCAAGTGTGTCGCGGTCTAAACTAGCTGAAATGTATTTCCAGGCAAGTTTCAGAACGGTAACTAGATGAAAGATAATAACTTTTGTGTCTCGACCACCAACTTTTGTTGTTTCCTTTGTGTTAAAAAAAATACAGATTGGATCAGTAATTGAACCAGCTGAAGAACTCTATGGAAGATTGACAAAGAAGAATATAAAAGCAAGTCTTGCTGAAGAATTGGTGTCAGATCCCAAAACTTCTCGGTACAGGTTAGTTACTACCATCGTCTATTAAAAACTAATGCTCAGAATCTATATCATGAAAAGACCAAATGCATGTCTTCTTTTAGGCTAGTTATATTGAAAACCCGTTAGTTTGTGATACGTCGAGTTAAAATCATCGATCTTAACCTAAGTAGCACTGAAACGGGTATGAAAACTAAAAACGGGTACGGAAACAGGGATAGGAAACGACAAAGTAAAAATTTATAGATGCGGGTATGTCATGGGTACTTTAATAATGATATAATAAAAATACCCTTAGATTATAGAAGTCTCAACATAAAAGAATATTTCGATTTAATATTTTAAATAACATAAAAAATAAGCTAATTATTAAGGAATTTTTTTCAAAATCCGGGTCATCTAATTAAAGGCCCGAAAACTTCATGAACCGTACATCTTCCATAGGATCAAATTTATCTCCACCTATATCCCACTTCTTGGTCTTTTTATTTTCATATTCATCAGTATTTCTTGATAGAAGCCTTATATTGGTGTGGATGTAAATCAAATCTTTAGCACGAATTGGAGTCCATATGTTTTTATCTTAAGTGAGTGGATAAATGAGTAAGTACTCCAATTGCGCTCAACACAAGAAGAAGAACTAGGCTGTCCAAGACGCCTAAAAGCCAAAGTCTGGAGGAGAGGGGTTTGAGCACCAAAGTTACCTCACTAATACTTAGGTGTCATAGTCGACATCTCCAAAATGCATGTTAAATCCTCAAAAAGACTACTCTTTGTCGATAATAATGCATATTTCTTCATAACTTTACTATGATCATCATCACTAAGAAACAATCTTCGAAAACACTTCATCCTCTCAATTGAGACTTCTCCATCCCTATGAGACTAATTCTTGTAGAATTTTCAGTTAGCCATACTTCACTATAAAATCTACAACATACAAAATATGGTATTTGTGTATCATATGTGGCAAGGTAACAAAGAAAAAAAACATATATTTTAACATCATATGTACCTTGGGTTTAAAGAATGAGCTAAACAATGTAGGGAAATGTTGTTCTTCGCCCATCAAGCTACTGAGATATCATAACAACATCATAGAAGAGACTGTATCTAAACGCTTGAAATATTTCTTTCATGTATATCTCAGACTTCACCTTCTCAATCATTAAATCCCACATCTCATATACCAAGCCAAGGCATGACTTATCATTGTCACAAAATTTGATTATATCATATATAGGTCTTGTGAAATTAATAATATAAGACACCTTGTCCCATCAACCATTATCCAGGTATCTTATATTATTAATTTCACAAAACCTATATATATGATATGATTAGATTTTGTGATACTGATAAGCCATTCCTTCACTTGGTATATGAGAAGTGAGATTCAATGATTGAGAAGGTGAAGTCTGAGAGATACAAGAAAGGAGGACTTCAAGCGTTTGTATACAGTCTCTTCTATGATGTTGTTTATGATATCTTAGTGGCTCGTTAGGCGAAGAATAACACTTTCCTACATTGTTTAGCTCACTCTTTAAACGCAAGATATATGATTTTAAAATATATGTTTTTCTTTTCTTTGTTACCTTTCCACATATGACATACATATGCCATATTTTTTGTATGTTGTAGATTTTATAGTAAAGCATGGCTAACTGGAAATTTCACAAGAAGTAGTCTTCATAAGGATGGAGAAGTCTCAATTGAGAGGATGAAATTTTTTTGAAGATTGTTTCTTAGTGATGATGATCATAGTAAATTTATGAAGGAGTATGCATTATTCTCGACGAAGAGTGGTCATTTTGAGGATTTAACATATATTTTGAAGATGTCGACTATGAAATCTAAGTATTGGTGGGCTAACTTTTGTGCTCAAACTCCTCTCCTTCAGACTTTGGCTTTTAAACTTCTTGGACAGCCTAGTTCTTCTTCTTGTACTGAGCGCAATTGAAATACTTACTCATTTATCCACTCACTTAGAAGAAACAGATTCACTCCAAGTCGTGCTGAAGACTTGGTTAACATCCACAACAGTCTGCGGTTTCTATCAAGAAATACTAATGAATATGAAAATAAAAATACCAAGAAGTGGGATATAGGTGGGGATGAATTTGAATTTACGGAAGATGTAGGGTTTTTGGAGTATTCGAGAAGAACAACGAAACTCTTATATAATTTGAAAATGGAGAGTTTATTTGCATTTTGCCGATTGAAGATCATAGGAAATCATGTTATGTTTTTTTTGTTTTTTTCAAATGATTCATATGTAATATGTTAATTCTTTTTTTAACCATTTATAGTGAAATAATATTTATGATTTTTCCGGACCATTTTCTTGAGAGTTGCACATTGTAGGATATGTCTATTTGTAAACAAAAAATATAAAAGAACTAAGAAAACTACATACATTAACCTTTTTCCTGCCAAAAATCGGTTTGTAACACCCCGAAAATTCAAATACATTTTCGGATGCATTACTAAAAATAATTTAATAAAAATACTAAAATTTCCATAATGTAAAAAGTTTGAAATCTCGAAAACTCCTAATCTCAAAAACAAAATCAATTAAAAGTTGAAAAATCTACCAAGTCTCGCTCTACGACCGAAAAACAAACTCTAAGCCTCAGCTGCAAGCTGCTCCTCCTCAAGGCCCTCTGCACGGAATCAGAACTTATGTGAGCGAATAAATCGCACAGTGAGACTACAAACCCGACGAACAAGTACCAACACGGTCTGATCCCGCACAGAATAATGTTCACGTGTTGGTACCAACATACATGAATTCCAATTTAATTAATTATAAATAAAATAAATCACAACCGAACATATATTATCAAAAATACATAATTAGATAATCAAAACAGAATAATATCATCATACAGAATAATAACATCAGATCATAACGATCAGGTATCCAGCAATGCAACATCGGAATAGTACAACCCCAACATTGGTCGACCCAAACCATATACTAACAAAATATATACATAATATACTCGATCGGGATGCTGACCCCTAACGAGGTGATAAAGAAGTACAGTCCACGACATTAACCGACCTCAATATCACTAACAGAATAACAGAATACAGAATACATCTGTTGGCGATGCCGGCCGCCACAGATTGCTCAATAGAGCTAAGCTAAATCAGAATAGCCTGCTGATACCAGTCTTAACAGAATAACATATCTTATTACCAAAATCATATCCAAATTAATTATCAAAACAAACAAATCAATATTCAAAAATTAGCATTCAAATAATTCAACTAATTATTTTTATCTCATACCTATATATTATACAAATGTATAATAACTAATAAGGGAGTTAGAACTCACCTGGAAAGATTTTCGGACTGAACGAGTGGTTAACGGCAATTCTAGACACGTCCAAACCACCAATTAATTCACCAATCAGATTCCGATCAATCTCGACTTCCGTTTGATGAGATGTCAGTGGCGTTGGATTCGTATGATCGAGAGCTTTCTAACAAGGTATAGATCAATTCCTAATTCTTCCAACATCTTCTACAAAAGATGAAAACAACCCACAGTTAAAGCAATATTACGGAGAAGCACATTCAACCAAAAACGCTAAATTGACAAGAGATTGGCTTCTCAATTTTCGGGGCTTCAAAACGCATATATATAAGTGGTATTAAGGTTGAACAATCAAGATTCGAGTTGCCAAAAACTATCCTCCTGTTTTCGGAAAGGTTCAACTCGATTTCCCCTTCTTTTTCACGTTTTTACACTTCAGTCCCTGAACCTTTCTCTATTTACAGATTTTGCTCCAGACTTTTGAATTGATCGCAAATCCCCCTGAAATCAGACAGTTTCAAAACGATTAATTTAACCCAAAACTAATTCTTCATTCTCTTCAAATTCAGGGTGTTATACGGTTAAAAGATAAAGGATGTTTCTTTTTTTGGGATGGGGCGTTAATAATTGTTTTTGTAACGCCCGTAATTAGAAGAAATTGCGAAAATCAGATATGGGGTTATATTGATCAATTTGAAACTATGTGATTTGAGGGGGATTTCTGATTGTTTCAGAAGTTTGAAGCAGAATCTGTAAATAGGCAAAAGTCAAAGGATTAAAGTGAAAAAGAGGAAAATATGGGTGCACTCGAGTTTATCTCTCCCAAAATCGGAGGGAGAGTATTTGGCAAGTCAGATATTCGTTTTTTAACCTAAATATATCGTGTATATATGCGTTTTGAAGCCCCAAAGATTTAGAAGCCGATTCTCTTGTCAATTTGAGATTTTTGGTGAGTTTTTGAGACCCTTCCTCATGAACTCCGATTTGAATATTTGTGGGCAACTTGTGAAAGGATTTTGTTGTGGCTTAGGTTGATCGTGCTTCTCCATATTAGTGCATTAGTTTTGGGTGATTTTCAGATTTGGTAGAAGAGGTTGGAAGAATTAGAACTTGGTCTATACCGTGTTAGAAAGATCTCATTCATACGGATCCAACGCCACTGACATCTCATCAAACGGAAGTCGGAATTGATCAGAATCTGATTGATTACTCGCTTGAAATCCAATTTGGAATTGGTTGAGTTTTGAATTTGAACCGATCGTAATTTGGACCGGTGAATTAATTGGTGTTTTGGAACGTGTCTAGAATTGCCGTTAACCACTCTTTCGGTCCGAAAATCTTTCCAGGCAAGTTCTAACTCCCTTATTAGTTATTATACATTTGTATAATATTTAGGAATATGATAGAAAGAAGATATGAATTATTTGTATGTTTTGAATTCTGAAAATTAATTATTTGTTTTAGTATTATTATTTTGAATATGATATGGTGATGTTATTCTGTTAAGAACAGTATCAGCATGCTATTCTGATTTAGCTAGCTCTATTGAGTAATCTATGGCGGCCGGCATCGCCAACAGATGTATTCTGTATTCAGATATTCTGTTAGTGATATTGAGGTCGGTTAATGTCGTGGACTGTACTTCCTTATCACCTTGTTAGGGGCCAACATCCTTATCGAGTATATTATGTTAATATTCTATTAGTATATAGTTTGGGTCGACCAATGCTGGGGTTGTACCATTCCGATGTTGCATTACTGGATACATGGTCGTTCTGTTCCGATGTTATTACTCCGTCTGATGATATTATTCTGTTTAATTGATGTGATTATGCATTTCTGATTATATATCTTCTGATATGATTTACTTTATTTATATGTAATTAAATTGAAATTTATGTCTGTTAGTACCAACACGTGAACATTATTCTTTGTGAGATCAGACCGTGTTGGTACTTGTTCGTCGGGTTTGTAGTCTCACTGAGCGATTTTTTCCGCTCACATAAGTTCTGATTCCGTGCAGAGGTCGTTGAGGACGAGCATCGTGCAGCTGAGGTTTAGAGTTTATTTTTCAGTCGTAGAGCGAGACTTGGTAGATTTTCCAACGTTTAATTTATTTTGCTTTTGAGATTTGAAGTTTTACGAGATTTCAAACTTTATACATTATAAAAATTTTAGTATTTTTATTATATTATTTTTAGTAGTGCTTCCAAAAATTCGTTTAAATATTTGGATTGGAGCGTTACATTTTTTTTTAAGTTTTAATATTTTTGTTGTTATTTAAATGAAAATATGGGCTTATATATTCTATTATTTTATGAAAATTAGGTTATCGTTAATTAAAATTTTATTATAATCATATTTTATATTTTTCAATATTAAATTTTGGATTTTATTCGTTAATGAATCCTAGTATCTCGTACCTCTTATCTCCTAATGAGTTGCTCCCAAGTTATTGAGAAATTTCTACCTGAAAATGATGTCACTAAAGAAAATTTCCTATAATAATATATTGGAAGTTAGAATAATAATATAGTAAACTAAATAGCAAAAAAAGTAAAAACTAAGAGAATATAAGGATTAATTGTGGAAGTCGAAACTAACACAATCGAGATTTGTCTAGGGTTTTAATTTAGGGATACGATTTGCGAGAATTCTCAAAGAACGACAGAATCAATTGATACCAAAGATGGCGTTCTTGATATTATTAAGAAAAAGATGACTTTGATCGTACAAGAGTTTGATCGTAAAAGAAAAAGATGTTTGTGCTGTGAGAGCTTTGCGTAGTGTAAATTCTAGAGCGATATTGCTTGCTTTCTGCGAGAGCCTTGAATCTCTTTATATAGGGGTGATAAACCGCCTCTCCAGCGATAATCTCGGAAGATTTCCATTTATCTCGAAGTCGGCTTGGAATATCGCGGATTAGGATAGTTTCCTTATTCTTCGGGGTTTTTCGGAAGTTTTCCTGATTTGAGTTGATCCTTCGAGATTCTCCCTTATCATTTCCGGGTCTATCGGAAATGACCCTTCGGAAATGACGCCTTGCATGGAAATGATACTTTGAAGATGAATATTTTACCAAGTCTTTGTCTCGGGTGATGATGAAGACTTCGCCTCAGAGAACTTGTGTAATCGGCTCGGGTATACATGAGAGACTAGCTCGGGTACCCCGAGATGTCTTGTTCGGGTACCCCCGAGGCAATGGGCTTGGACACTCCGAGGCGATTGGGCTCGGACACTCCGAGGCGATTGGGCTCGGGTAACCCGAGATGTCTTGTTCGGGTACCCCCGAGGCAATGGGCTTGGACACTCCAAGGCGATTGGGCTCGGACACTCCGAGGCGATTGGGCTCGGGTAACCCGAGATGTCTTGTTCGGGTACCCCCAAGGCGATGAGTTCGGGTACCCCGAGGCGATCGGGCTCGGATACTACACGATGATGGGCTCGGGTATCCTAGACTGATTAGGTGGATAACCCGAGGTGGATGATGCGATATCCCGAGGTGATCTCTGAAAAACTCCCGAGGTAATCTAAGTCTGGCTCGGCACCAAAGGATGGAATCCGACCCCAACATTAATAATTTAATATGTGAAGTTGTTGCGGGAAATTTAAGAAATTAGGTATTCTAAAATGACTATAAGATATATAGATCCTGAAATTAGAAAGAACCTATATGGTAGATGAGACTTAGTTTATACTTAGGTTTTTTTTGTTTCTTCAAAGTTTATGCTTAGTTTATGCTTCTTTTTAAGAATTTTATATTAGAGTATGGGGTTGATCTGAGCTATATATCTAACATAGTTTAGTTTTCATGCTTTAAATATAAAAATCTTTAATAGAAAACCTTATTTATAAAGTGAAGGCCTCAAAATGAATTTAAATATTTTGAATTTTATTTTTCCAGTTTTTATTTAGAATGATTTTTCTTCATTTAAAAAATAAAAGTAAATGAAGAAGCGATGATATTTGAATTTTTATGGAATTTAATTTTTTAAATAATTAAAAAATCTTTTTAAAAGACAGAGTTTAGTTTCACAAAGCCTTTGTAAATTAGGGGTAGTTATCATCTAATTTTGTTTAGATTTAGTTCTAATTTCACTGTTTTTATAGTCAACCAATGAAAATGGAAGGCAATCTGATTATTATTTATGAAAATATTAAAAAAAATTAGTTATAAATTAATGATATATCATCATAGTGTTACACTAATTATGATTAAACATATAATGTTATGAATAATTAATTGTTTGCTATGTGTATTTTAATCCAATTAAATTTAGAAAAGTCAAAATGAGCATAACCAATTAAGAGTAACCTTATACTTGTGTGTCAAGCAAAAAAAAAAATTGTTTGTCTTGTGGAATACTAATGACATCAATTAAAATCTATGAAACCAAATCTAGAACTTTCGAACATAATAATAGCTATTAAATAACACATTAATCTAATGAAGATTCTTCTCTAGTCTCATCTTTAATTACCCCCAAGATAAAATTCCTCTAAACCTTATTATATAAAGGGGACATGGTGAGAACACTAAAGAAAAAAATTAGTTGTAGAAGAAATGGGAAGGAAGAAAATAAAACTGAATAGACTAGAAAGCCTGAAAGAGAGAAGTAGCAAATACTCAAAACGTAAAAAAGGGCTTTTCAAGAAGGCAGAAGAAGTAGCAATGTTGTGCGATTGTGAAATAATTTTGATTGTTGTTTCTCCGACCGACAAGCCTACCATTTTCCACACTCGTTCTAAGTATAAATTATTTGAACATAAATTTTCAAAAAATTAAACTATTGTTATTTATATAGTTTTTTTGTTGTTAATATAAAACTTCTGAATTTAGATCCATAAGCCAATTATTAATTCATCAATTTACAATAACGAGCTAAATGACTATAGATATCTCAATTACTTTCCACTTGTTCTTGTTTCTTCATAAAACAGTTTTGAAACAATTATAATTTAGGTTCACTTTTTTTTTTTAACTACTTAAGAGTGACATGGTAACATGCACTAGTCGGCTACATGTCCAATAGGAAGTGTTATTATAGAATCATTAATTTGTTGGTTATGAATTGATATTCCAATATTTGCTTAAAACTATGCTTTTGAAATTGTAGGTCCTTCAGTAAAATTTATGAGAGGTATTGCATGCTTTCATTACAAGAACGGGAAGAAAGGTGTGATCTTTGAGATTTGTATATTATTATTAGATAACTACATTGACATAGTTTTTTTTTATACATTGGCTGACTTTGGTTTTTTATGTATGCTTTCAGGAGAGCCTACACAATAAAGGTTGGATTTACTCATCACTTTACATTTATCAATTAAAGTTTAACCGCCAATATCTTTCTCAAGATTAGTTGGGGATATGGTTTTGACAATAGTTTAAGCATAAAAGATGTATACTTATTTTCGCAGTTTATTTGTTATATTCAAATCTAAGTTAATGTGATTGATATTATTAGTTTTGAATAAAAAGTAAAACCAAAAATAAAACTTATCAGAATATTAGAAGATTTAGTCAACTGAAGCTAGTAACGAACAACTATATAAATTTTCTCTTTTTGTTTTGTATGAAGCCTTTGTTTATTTATTTATTTTTTACATGTATATATAGACGTTGATAAAATTGATGAACCAAAACAATCCAGAAGTGACCAATGAAAATGATCAACTTTTGTCTGAAAGTGATCAATTTTCGCCTGAAATTGATCAATTTTCACCTAGAATTGATCAATTTTCGCCTGAAAGGTATAATTTTGTTTATATTCAAACAAATGCTTATATATTATTCAACATACTAGATCTAATTTTTATTTATTTACTGCAGAGGTCAAGAGATTCAGGTACACAAATATTTATTAAAAATATTTGATTAAATATATTGTTTGCTTTTAATAAATTTTTATTTAATACTATAGTTATTGAAATTTAGGATGATAATAAGGTCACTAAACGGAGAGAACTCAAGGAATTGTATGATGAGAAGACGTTAATTTTGAGGTAATGATTAAGAAAATCACTAATGAATATTCAATAAATAATTTAAATTAATTATCTTATTAATTTAGCTTTTTTATTAAGTTTACTTAAACTATTATTATTTATTAATTGACAAGAAACTGGGAAAGTCCGAATGAAGTTAATGATTTGAACGGACTCAATATAATGGAAGACTATTTAGTTACTTCTCTCAAGCATATCAGAAATTTCATAAAGGTAATTGCATATTAACATATAATAAATAAGATTTATTCTAAAATTCAAATGTGATTGGAATTTTGCAGAAAAATTAAATCTTGTTTCAGGTTAAGGTCCGAGAAGAACAGCAAAACTCTTATATGATTTGAAAATGGAGAGTTTATTTGCATTTTGCCGATTGAAGATCATAGGAAATTATGTTATGTTTTTTTATTTTTTTTTCAAATGATTCACATGTGATATGTTAATTCTTTTTTTTACCATTTACAGTGCAATAATATTTATAATTTTTCCGGACCATTTTCTTGAGAGTTGCACATTGTAAGATTTGCCTATTTGCAAAAAAAAAAAAGGAACGAAGAAAACTACATACATTAACTTCTTTAATTTCCTGCCAAAAATCGGTTAAAAGATAAAGGATGTTTCTTTTTTTCAGATGGGGCTATAATTATTTTTTTAAAAAAGTTTTAATATTTTTGTTGTTATTTAAATAAAAATATGGGCTTATATATTCTGTTATTTTATGATAATTAGGTTCTCGTTAATTAAAATATCATTATAATCATGTTTTATATTTTTCAATATTAAATTTTAGATTTTATTCGTTAATGAATCCCTAGTATCTCGTACCTCTTATCTCCTAATGAGTTTCCTAAGTTATTGAGAAATTTCTACTAGAAAATGATGTCACTAAAGAAAATTTTCTATAATAATATATTGGGAGTTAGAATAATAAAATAGTAAACAACATAGCAGAAAAAATAAAAACTAAGTGAATATAAGGATTAATCCTTTAATATGTGAAGTTGTTGCCGTAGATTTTATAAATTTGGTATTCTAAAATGACTATACGATATATTGATTATGAATTTAGAAAGAACCTATATAGTAGGTGAGACTTGGTTTATGCTTAGTTTTTTTTTGTTTATTCAAAGTTTATGCTTCTTTTTAAGAGATTTATTTCAGAGTATGGGGTTTATCTGAGCTATATATCTAACAAAGTTTAGTTCTCATGCTTTAAATATAAAAATCTTTAATAGAAAAACCTTATTTATAAAGTGAAAGCCTCAAAATGAATTTAAATATTTTGAATTTCATTTTTCCAGTTTTTATTTAGAATGATATTTCATCATTTAAACAATAAAAGAAAATGAAGAAGCGATAATATTTGAATTGTTATGGAATTTATTTTTTTGAAAAATAATTTAAAAAAAAAACTTTTTGAAAAACGGAGTTTATTTTTAAAAGGCCTTTGTAAATTAGGGGTAATTATCATCTAAATTTTGTTTAGATTTAGTTCTAATTTCACTGTTTTTATAGTCAACCAATAAAAATGGAAGGTAATATGATTATTATTTATGAAAAAATATTTTTGAAAATAGTTATAGTTTAATGATATATCATCGTAGTGTCACACTAATTATGATTATTTTATTTATGCTACATGATCATATAATGTTATGAATAATTAATTGTTTGCTATGTGTATTTTAATCCAACTAAATTTAGAAAAGTCAAAATGAGCATAACCAATTAAGAATACCTTTATACTTGTGTGTCAAGCAAAAAACAAAACATTGTTTGTCTTGTGGAATACTAATGACATCAATTAAAATCTATGAAACCAAATCTAGAACTTTTAAAGATAATAATAGCGCTATTAAATAACACATTAATTTAATGAAGATTCTTCTCTAGTCTCATCTTTAATTACCCCCAAGATAAAATTCTTCTAAACATTATTATATAAAGGGGATATGGTAAGAACACTAAAAAAAAAAAATTAGTTATAGAAGAAATGAGAAGGAAGAAAATAAAACTGAATAGACTAGAAGCCTAGAAGAGAGAAGTAGCAAATACTCAAAACGTATAAAAGGGTTTTTAAAGAAGGCAGAAGAAGTAACAACGTTGTGCGATTGTGAAATAATTTTGATTGTTGTTTTTCCGACCGACAAGCCTACCCTTTTCCACACTCGTTCTAAGTATAAATTATTTGAACATAAATTTTCAAAAAGTTAAACTATTGTTGTCTATATGTTTTTTTTGTTATTATAGAACTTGTGAATTTAGATCCATAAGCCAATTATTAATTCATCAATTTACAATAACGCGCTAAATGACTGTGGATATCTCAATTAGTTTTCACTTGTTCTTGTTTGTTTATAAAACAGTTTTGAAACGCTTATAAATAGGCTCACTTTTTTTTTAACTACTTAGGAGTGACATGGTAACATGCACTAGTCGGCTACATGTCCAATAAGAAGTGTTATTATAGAATCGTTAATTTGTTGGTTATGAATTGATATTTGATAACATCGTATTTTAGCCCACTTTTACTATGTTTTATTAAGGTTTTTCATAGAGAAAACAAGAGATATTCGAGATTTCAAGGATTTTTCCAAGTATTTATTCTTCAAGGATGAATTATGAGTTTTCAAGAAAAAAGAGTAAAAGTCGATTAAATTCCATTTCAAGACAGTTTCTGTACCTCAGAAGTATGGCGTATGTTCGAGGTCTTCCCGATAAGAAAATCAAGAGAACTTGGTAGAAATGGAAAGCTAGAAGAGTCAAGATTTTCTTGGAAGTATAATCAAAGCAATCCATTCAGGCATTCAGATGTTATGCCCAGAGGAGTGAAGATATGTCCCAAACCGGCCAAACTTCCTCGTAGCCGGTCCGGAGCCTCCTGGCGCCCCCGATCATGGAGCTCGTGCCCGGGCCTGCCTTCACACGTCCCACCGGTCATCCTGATTCGTCCCCGATCCATAAACTCAAGCCATCACTTAACCTAATTCATGGGAAATGACGATTTTGCCCCTTGACCTAATCGAAGCCTATAAATACCGAGACAAAGTGTTGAAACCCTACAGCCTCTTCACCCTAATTTCGACAGCCTCCTGCAGCCACCTCGACGAGACTTTCAGCTCTCCTACCTCCACCTCGTCGAAGCTCCTTTGCCATCGAAAAAGTCGTCTTTTGAAGCTCTCTCCTTTGTTCTTCATAGTTTTCTCTTATACTCTTTCTTTCAAGACTTTTGGGGAGACAAGTATCTTCTGTGACACTAGAGAAGTCTTCTTTGAACCCTCTTTGTTTTATTCAATTGTTTATTTTGTTTTTCTACTTCATCTCCATGTCGTTTCTTAGCATCATGAGCGAGTAGTTTTCTTTATTGGGTTTTATGGGGTGATTCAAAGGGGATTAATGATTCAAATCATATTAGGTTTATAGATCCGATATTTCGTTTATACTTAGATTCTTTTAGGACATCTTTTACTTAATGCATGTGTTTGGATTGATCACCAAACGCTGATCTAAGAGGTTAGGAGCTCTAATCAGGTAAACCTAATCTCCGACATAGTGTTACCAATCCTTCGTGTTGTTGCCTGCGTAAGTTGAGTAACAGGAGTCAAAGTACTTAGCGAATCCAACCTTAATGCGTCGATCTATGCGTCGTTGCCTGCGTTAGTTGAGTAACAGAGTATAGGGAGATATGCCAGCTTATTCTATAACCTAGGATAACTCGTTCATTCGCCTTTCGTTGTTATGAACTAGAACGAAAACATAGAAACCCTAGAGATCTAAACCCTAGTTAGTCGAGAACCATGATACCAGGAGAAACCCCAGAACAACCAACGCCTCAGTCATATAGTTTACATTCGATCGTTTATTTAGTTGCATTAGTTTTCTAAGCTTTCATTTATTTGCTTTCTTATTTCATTGCATTAATCATTAGGAAACCCAAAACCAAACCCCCCAAAGTTTAGTTTTGTCTTAGCTAGATCTTTTTGTTTGAATTCAATAACCCGTAGCTACACTCTCTGTGGGATCGATCCTAAAATACTACTCTGATTACTGTGCACTTGCAGTTTAACGTGTGGTCTTTCAGGTAATAGATTGAAGTGAACTTCCACACACATCAAGCTTTTTGGCGCAGTTGCCGGGGAGTGATTCAAGCTACCATTAAATTCGCTAAGAGATTTCTTCTGAGATACTTTGAGTTTAACGTTTACATTCTCACTTTTACTTGTCTTCGATAACTTCTTTTTTCCTTTTAATTTATGTTTTTGGTATCTGTAGTGCATGACAAGGAGTCAAAACTCAGGTGTGCCGCCATACCAAGATATAGAAAGACTAGAACGCAAAATCCAGAGACTTCAAAAACAACAATTGATGGCCGATCAACGGAACCCGCAAGACGGAGACCTTGATCCGTGACAACAAGTCCCAGCCCTAGGCGTGCATTGACAGCCCTTAGACGATGAAGATGGCAACCCCATATACGAACAGCCCGAAGAAAGACTCGACCCGAAAGATGGCCGGGATCGTGATCAACAAGCTCCTCCGGAAGCTAATCCTCAAGGAGTGGGAGACAACCTCAACGTTAATCTTCCGCAGCCCGCTAATGTCATCAATGCCCAACATCCTCTTAATGTTGCTGCAAGATATGCCACTTATCTTCCTCCTTTGAGACGAGCCGCTCCACACCGTACATTAGCCAATTATGATGCACCAAATCAATACCCACAAGATCGAGCTGCCATACGAGTACCTAACCCTCCAAGACGTGACTATGAGATCAAACCTCAAATCATTGGTCTTGTGAAGCAAAACCAATTCCATGGTTTAAACACGGAGTCTTTTCGAAGAAATCTGCAGTACAACACAATCCCGTGGAGTACCCGAAGACTATTTGAAGTGTAAGCTTTTTCCTTTCTCTTTAGCCAACAAGGCTCATAGATGGTTAATGTCTTTACCTCCTGGATCGATTAACAAATGGGAAGGATGCAAGTCAACCTTTCTCAATCACTTCTACACGAAGTCACAGTCCAATTCTGTAAGAAACAAGTTGCACGGATTCCAACAAGGACCTGTTGAATCATTATATGAAGCATGCAAACGATTCAAGGACTACGTGCAAACGATTCAAGGACTACGAATGCGATTGTCCTCACCATGGCTTCCCGGAAGGTAACCTCTTAAGTACTTTCTATAGAGGATTACATTCTAAGTTTCAACTTTCACTAGATAAGGCGATCAATGGAGATTTCACTACCAAAACCGTTCAAGAAGGACGAGATCAGATAAGGAATCTTGCCGCAAGCAAAAGTAATGCTTCCACCGATTTTGATAGAACAACCCGTTCTAATGACTCTGATGCAAAACAAATTGTCGAGCTGAAGGAAATGATGAATCAACTTCTAAGGAACCAAAACCATGCCGTGAATGCATGTGAGACGATTGGTAATGGAAACGCCGAGGCTTTCCAAGAGTTCGATGATACATTCAACCAAGAAGAGGGTACAACAAAAACTTCAATAACAACTTTTGGAATACTTCAAACCTTTCTTACAGCAACCCAAATTTGAAGAATCCTCAGGATCAAAGCTATCCGCAACGCAACGGAAGCTGTTTCAAAACCGCTTTCAAAATGCCAACTATGGTGCTAACAACTTCCTGCTGAGAGCTCCTTTCAACAACAACAACAAGGTGCCCTTTCAAGCCAGACTGATCCAAGCCGCGCCTTCTTAAGGAAGTAAACTCGAGATGATGATGCAAGAACTTCAAGCTTCTCATCATAAGACTTCTCGAGATATCAACGTGAAGATTGAGAACGTATATGGTAAATTGAATGAAAAGTTCGAAAGTATTTCCACACATGTGAAGAAACTTGAAACTCAAGTCGCTCAAACCTCCGAAGCCGTTAAGCGACAAACCGGTGTACTTTCTGGAAGAGCCAAATAAAATCCTAAGGGATATTGCAATGTTATCTCAGCCGTACCAGCTCTCCACACCCATGAAGCCGAGCCGCTGGTGCCGCTCTTTGATTCTCATGAAGACATTCGTATGACGCGAGTCATTGTTGAAGACAAGCCTGAACGCTACTTGTTACGGAGACTTATCAAAGTCGAAGATCCGAGACGTTTTGTCTGTTCTTGCTCCATTACTGTGGACGTCGGATTCACACACTCAAATATTTGTTTATTTAGTGGGAAAGATTATTCTTGAGGACAAAAATTGATATGTAAAAGCTATGAATTGTAATGGAAATGACTATAGTATAATTGCTAGAAAAATTGCGTGTCCTTTACATGGCTCTTGGCCCTATTACTTATACTAACAAACGACATTTAACTCCCAATTAAATGCAATTATTCTCTCTTAAATATGTATGTTACAATCTTTGAGTTTAATGCTCCAACGTTCAAATTTTGAATTAATCTCGATCTCCATGGGCTTTGCCCCCTTTAGCCCAAAAAGTCTCGAAATGGACTTCGACTATGTCCTCATCTTGAGGTGCCACCACTTCGACCCTTCTCCGTGATTTAACAATCTCGACCACGTTCTTGGGCTTGTAAGTCTAACGGGCTTTATGTTCCGCGGGCTTCTATCCTGCCTATGTGGCAATCTTTGGTTGGTCCCGAACCACCCGTGCGGGATCCGACACAAACAATTAGCCCTCCAAGTCTTCCGAAGTGTTATCTCAGTTCGGAAGATTTTGATGCTGAAATAACCAAAGATTGCGCCCGAGAATCTTCTGATTTCCCGCCGAAAATCTCAACATTCCTTTAATTTCGGCACTAGCCATTTTTAACCGAGTGACATCTGTCATCATTATGACCGTATATTAATTAATTACTATTAAAATGGGAAAAACCTTTCCACTTCCCACACGACTCCCGAGGCGGTTCCATCATTTAGCTTGCGTAAGGTAACTTCTTTCATCATCGTCTTTTTTACTTTTACTCTTGTGCTTTAATCAAAACTTCTCTCTACTCTCCTCCGCCAAACTTTTCTTTGCCGGACCTTGAATTTTTCATCTTCCACAATGACTTCTAGTTCCGATAGACCTGAGTCTCCGTCCTACGTCGAGAGACGTTCTAGTAACGACGAATGCACTCGCTCAAACGATATCGCCGGTCCGCATTACAGATCCACCTGTACCCTTCAATCCCTTGAGCAATTAAAGGGGCTTTGTCAGATTCCACCTGGAATCATGGCTGAAGCGCAAATAGCCGACCCCTCGGAATCCCCGGAGAACCACCGCGACGGCTACTTCTGTGTGTATGAAATCTGTTTCAGGGGCTGCGGATTAACCTTCCCCCTTCTCGAAGCTCTAGTTCGATACCTAACGGCTCTTGAGATTGTTTTACCTCAATTAACTCCCAATCTTCTCCGAACCATCCTCGGGATTATAACCGTTGCGGCGGAGGCTGGTTATATTATCGGAGTCTCCGAACTGAACAAACTTCTAAGCGTGAGAAGTTCGCCGGGGAAAACAGGGTACTTTTTGGCGTACCCAAACGCCAACAAAAACATCATCTCACACCTTCCAAACAAGGACGAAAACTGGCACCATCCTTGGTTCCTGATTAAGAAAACTCCCATCAAAGTGGTCTACGAAGCCTGGTAGAAATTAGGTCAGATACACATTTTTCTCGGTTGTTTTATTTTACTGACCAAACTCGCTGTTTCACTTCGCAGCTTTCATCTCTCCGACTCTTCCGTCTGAAGAATTCATCGAGTTCTTCAAAACAATCCTTGAAGGGGAAACCTTTTGGAATTCTTTCACCCTCGATCGGTTCATTGAAGCCAATCAAAAACTTAGGATGAGCCTCCCCAATCAACTTCATCGTCTTCCGCCTCCTCCCTCAACCCAGGGAATGTCAGCTCGGGCCCTCACTGCCCAGTGCAAGAAGCTTTCCAAGCCGATAACTGAGGCTTGCGATGAAAACAAAGCATTCCTTGCGATCGCTATTGACAAAAAAGACTATAGCAGGACCCTGCTGGTCGATGATAGCAGCACCGAGGGAGCCAGATCCGTTGCTGCTTTCAGTTTAACACCTCGCCGTGAACGTCGTGAAGAACGTTCTCCTCGGAGGGTCAGATCTCCTTGTCGTGATTCTCCTCGTCCTCCCCGAGATGATTTTAGCAACGAACCGCTTAAGAACTTGGTTCGCAGGAAGAGAGACAAGTCATCTCGCAGTGATTCTTCTCCGCGAAGGGAGAAGTCGAGGGCCCGGACTGACCGTTCTCCTCGATCGTCTCCTCCTACTAAACCAATGGGTCCTCCTGCTCCCGTTGACATGTCTTCCTCTTCCCAACACGGTGGTAAGAAGGCTGCCCGGAGCGTGTCTCCCTAGAAGGAAGGTTCTCAGCCTTAAGATGCTTCCTCGAAGTCAAAACCTGCTCTTGTCCCCCAGGTCAAATCGCTTACAGGTGACGATCTATGCATTATTAAAGGTTTTTATCTCATCCGGATTCCAAGTTTTATAGCTCTCCTTCTTCTATTTTCACAGCTATGGAGAAAGAAGGTAGCGTCTTTCGATGCTTCAAGACCCGATCGGGTCTGATCCTGCCGGATTTCGATAAGTGGCGTCCTGCAATTTGCGAACGCTATTTACTTCATGCGCATCATTCGTCTCGGGTTAGTTCCACCAAATTTTCCTAGTTTCGCTATTACCCTTCATACTGACTTACCATTCCAAATTTATACGAAATGTTAGGCAAACAGCGAACTCAACGATATGGTTGAGCACTACGAAGGATTGTTGCTTAGTCAGCTACAGGAGATTGATTCGTTGAAAGGCAAGCTTACTACTCTTGAGGCTAACCTCCGATCATCTTCCGGCTCCAAGCAGCAACTGGAAGACCAAGTTGACAGTCTCACATCTGAGCTCGGGACGATAAAACACGAATTGCAGGATCAGCATGATCGGAATTACCAACTCCAGGATGAACTTTCTGGTGTTCAGGACAGACTCACCGAGTCCGAATCAGCTGCTTATAACCTGACCAACCAATTTGCTGAACTTAACGCAAAGTATAAGGCGATCACCAAGTTGCGGGACTCCGAGTTGGCGAAATCGGTGTCAAAGGCGAGGAAAGAGGTCAAAGGACATGGGATGGACTTGATCCAAGGGGCCATTCGCTTCATGCAAACCGAGAAGTCACGATCGATGTTAGAATCTGACATCAAGGAGCACGAGAGCAACTTACTCCTGTTGGAGCAAATCCATGAAGAAAGTTTCTCCGAAGAGCAGGAAAAGACCGATCTGACGACTAATCTAGCTGAAAAGCGAAGTCGCCTCGCAACCATTCCTGCTTCCTCTTTCAATCCTCAGCAGTTTGAGGAATTCTTCACCGAGTCACCTCCCTTGGGCGAATCGGGTTTAGACTGGCTGGTAAGTCCATGTTCCTTAACACTTGCCCTTTACTTGCTTTTAAATTTTAGCTGACTGGAACTGTTCCTCCTAGGTCCTCATGAGACGGGAAGTGTTGCCCCATCTGAAGTCCCTGTTACGTCGGTTGTCACCCCAGAAGATGACTGCGCAGTCGAGAACGAGCATGGAGCTTCTTTTGAGCAAGTCCCGGCTAAAGAGGCGAGTGAGACCCTGATATCTGAAGTGGAGGCCGAGGTGTCTGCTTAAATCTTTATGTTTTTGTTTTCGCCTAAGGAGGCTTTATTATTAATTTCTTTTGAACATGATATTTGCCTGAGGATGCTTTTAAACCTTTTTGAATTATAATCCCTAGAGGGTTTGGTTAAAATAACGTGCAGGTTTGCAAAGTCCGCTTATAACACTCTTTGGCCTTGTGGCTATGTTTTTTGAGATTTTTAGGCTGATCAAGCCCTTCTCTTGGAATACGAGAACTAAGCTCGGCTTAACACGAGTTCCCCACTTCGGGTTTAGTCAACTCGGTGAATTCGTTGGGCTTGGGCCTTAAAAGTTTTTTTGCTTAACGGGCTTTTTGCCTTAAATGCCACGGTTGCTCTTTCCCTTTCTTGGGAAATAGGAAAAGCCGCACGACTTTAAGGCAATAACTGCCTTTTCTCTATTTTCAAAAACAGTTTTAACCACTCGGGAACGCTACCATCATTAAATTTACGGTTTCAAGATAAACCCTAGACCTATTATAAATAGGGGCATGTTTGCCTCTAACTTCTTCTAAGGAATTTCAAAATTCCCTTGATAATTTTTACAATAATGGAGAACGAAAATGTGACCCCCGTCGATCCTGGCAGCCCACTGTTCTTGTCTGGCGACGGCTTCGAGCCGACTAGCGTTTTCTTTCCTCATGCCGTGTTCCACTTCCCTTCGAGGGAAAAGAAAGAGGCTTACGACTTCATAGACAAGGTCAGAATTCACCTCTCTTGACCAAACCCTTATGCCTTTCTCTTTTAATTTACTTTTTTCTGTGACAGGTCGTCGACAAATATCGCCGTTTGGGCGACGAGAGGCAGCGGCTGGGCCTCAAGAGGCAAACACTCGAGGCTCGCATTGCTCAAGTGGAGAGGAAGGTGAGGGCTTTGGAGAGTGATCCCTTTCAATGGGAGTGGAGGAACTTCGATTCTATTATAGAGATCCCGAGGATGCTCCGGATGTATCTCCGTGCAAAAGGTCAAGTTTCGAGGCCAGTGAATGCATCGGTTAAGATCGCTCCGTCCGATAGCAAAGAAGAGGATGAAGAGGAGGGTAGCATCCATCGGAAACGAGCCCGAAGTGGGTAGCGAGCCATCTACTTCGAATGCTAAACCGGCGATGAAGGAGTCTGTTCCTGAGCCCCTTCCATAAATGTTCCGAACTTCGTTTCAATTTTCTTTCTCTTTTTTTTTAAGTGGACTCATAATGGGCTTTCAACCCGTTTCGTTTATGGAAGTTTTTTCTTCTTTCCTTTTCTTGAAATAGTTTCTGAGATATGTCTTGAATGCAGGATCGGTTAAAGGGCATAAATCTCGCCGCGAATCTCTTCATTCCAGGGTTGAATCCGCAGCTTGCTAGGAATATGACGCCCCTATAAATTACAGTTTCAACTTCCCTTCACTCCTCACTATTCTTCTTACTTCTGCAGGTATGGATTTCAACCTTCGATGTTCTGAGTCTATGCCAGATTTCTCCAGGATCGGAATGATGGATGAAGATGTTCCAACTGTGCCAAGTAGGCGACCTTCCCCACTTTGCGGCTTCTTCAGATCTCAAATCCGAGCTCCATGCGCTTTGATCAAGGATCTTCCAGATAAAGACCAAGAGATTGCGATGGCCTTTATCAAAGCGCTCGCAATTCAACATCGGAAGCTATCGTTGGAAAAGAAAAAACTTCGGAAAAAGATACATAGAATGCAACGCAGGGTCACTGCGATATCAAGAGATCTTCACATCCTCAGCTCTCACCCCGGAGAATGGATCGAGCTTGGAATCTCCGAATTTGCTCGTATCACGGATTGTATGATGCCAATTCTTGACCTCGCTGGTCAAGGAGTTCAAGTGTTCTGTTCTCCGGGAGGATTTCCCTAATTCGAAGTGTGCGAAGATCGACACTTTGTCTTGTTCGTTTGAATAAATGCTTTGCTTCCAGTTTCCGTGCGTTCACGTAGTTAAACTTTATTTGCCTTGTACGTTTGCATTGTCAAACTTTTTTCCTTTAAAGACAAAATAAAACAAAATTTTTATTAGTAGCTGAACTCGTTTCCGAGCTGCCTACGTACCCGTTTCGGGATCAAGCCACACCGTAGTTCATGTTACATAATAAAATGCATGCCCACTTAAACATAAAACTTCTTTAGGTTGATCACATTCCAAGGTCGCTGGACTGGATTGCCTTCTAAGTCTTTCAACCTGTAAACTCCATTTCGAACCACTTCGGTAACAATATAAAGTCCTTCCCAAATAATGCCGAGTTTGCCTGCGCCTTCTTCCTTTTTATTGTCGAAAACTCGCCTTAGCACATAGTCCCCTACAAAGAATGGCCTACCAAACATCATCATGTTTCACCCCTACTCCGCGACAAGCCCTGGCTCATATGCGGCGATTTTAATGAAATACTAGAGGGAGACGAACACTCTCTTCATGACATATCACCTTCGATTCCAGCAGGGATGAGGGATTTTCAAGATTTAGTCCGAGTTTGTGAGCTCACTGACATGAGTTTTCAGGGACAGCGGTTTACATGGTGTAATAAGAGACATGACGGTGTTATTTGCAAAAAAACTGGACAGAGTGCTAGTTAACAAGCAATGGATCCAGACGTATCATTAATCTTATTCTGTTTTTGAGCCGGGGGGTTGCTCTGACCATTTAAGATGCAGGTTTTATATCTCAGAGGAAGAGAAGAGAGTTAAAAAACCTTTCAAGTATGTCAATTCCATATCGTCGCTTCCGGAGTATCACCAAGAACTTGAGGCACGATGGCGTACGTCGCAACCTCTGTTTCACTCAACTTCTGCAATGCATAGATTTTCAAAGAAGCTTAAGGGACTGAAACCACATTTACGACAGCTGGGCAAAAAGATGGTCGGAGCTATCTCGATCAAAACAAAAGAAGCTTATAAATCTCTATGTGATTTGCAGGAGAAGACAATGGCTAACCCCTCATCACAAGCTGTTAATGACGAAGCAGAGGCATATGTAAAGTGGAAGAGATTATCAGACATTGAAGAAAGCTATTTACGACAGAAAGCAAAGCTACATTGGCTGAAAGTAGGAGACCAAAATAATAAAGCTTTTTATACTGCCGCAAAATTGAGGGAGATCAGAAACAACATTAAGGAGATTCAATGTGATGATGGTCGAATAGTTGATAATCTGGAACAGATCAAATTTGAAGCGGAGAGATATTTTAAAGAGTTTCTCTCGCTGAAACCAAACGATTATGTTGAATGGTCACGTACAAAGCTAGAGAAGATTCTGACTTTTCGATGTGATGAGAATGACAAGAAGTTGCTTACAGCAGAAGTATCAAAAGAAGAAATCAAAAAGGTGCTATTTGCAATGCCAGCTAATAAATCTCCGGGTCCAGATGGTTTCAATAGCAAATTCTTTAGGGAGTCGTGGTTGATAGTAGGTGATGACTTTACAGTAGCAATTCAATCTTTCTTTAAGACAGGGTTCCTACCCAAAGGAGTAAATTCTACCATACTAGCCTTGATTCCTAAGAAAAAAGAGGCTAAGGTAATGAAAGATTACAGACCGATCTCTTGCTGCAATGTTCTCTATAAGGTCATCTCTAAGATCCTTGCTAACCGTCTCAAGCTTATTCTCCCAAAGTTTATCTCGCCAAACCAATCAGCCTTCGTCAAAGACAGATTGCTCATGGAGAACCTCTTACTCGCCACTGAAATTATTAAAGACTATCATAATAAAACATTTTCCCCTAGGTGTGCAATGAAAATTGACATCTCGAAGGCATTTGACTCGGTACAGTGGGACTTTCTACTAAATACGCTGCGAGCACATGATTTTCCGGAAGTTTATGTTCGATGGGTATAAACATGCATCTCCACAGCCTCCTTTTCAATTCAAGTCAACGGTGAACTAGCTGGTTATTTTTGCAGCGATCGAGGACTCCGCCAAGGCTGCTCGCTCAGCCCTTATTTGTTTGTCATATGTATGAACGTCCTTTCCCAGAAAATAGACAAGGCAGCACACGATAAGAGAATTGGTTTCCACCCACGCTGCAAACAATTGAAGCTCACGCATCTATGCTTTGCAGACGATTTGATGGTATTTGTCGATGGAGAAAAAAAATCTATTAAGGGAGCTCTTGAAGTCTTTGATGATTTTGCCATCCACTCAGGTCTGAAAATCAGTCTAGAAAAATCAACACTATACATAGCAGGCGTCACTCTGGAAAAAAGAGAAGAAATTCTCCAACAATTCCCATTTGAATATGGCTCGTTACCAGTTCGTTACTTGGGGCTGCCACTGTTAACGAGACGAATGACAGCTGCGGACTATCTTCCACTTGTAGAAAAGATCCGAACACAAATAAATACTTGGACAGCAAGAACACTCTCCTTTGCAGGGAGACTCCAGTTGATCAGCTCAGTAATATTTAGCCTCACCAACTTCTGGATCGCCGCCTTTAGATTACCTAAAGCCTGCATTCGAGAGATTGATCAATTATGTTCAGCTTTCTTGTGGTCTGGGCCCTCCTTGAATGCCAAGAAAGCTAAGGTAGCATGGTCAGATGTTTGTACACCGAAGAGCGAGGGAGGCCTGGGTTACGCTTAGTAGAAGAAGCAAACAGAGTGTGTATGTTGAAGTTGATTTGGCGAATCCTTTCAGCTCAGGGTTCTTTATGGGTAGACTGGGTAAAAAAATACCTCATTCGCAATGGCTCTTTCTGGGCAGTGAAAGAAAGCTCTACTTGTGGTTCATGGATTTGGAAAAAACTACTAAAGTATCGAGAGAAAGCAAAGCAGTTCCATAAGGTGGAGGTGAAAAACGGAGAAACCACTTCTTTTTGGTTTGGCGTGTGGAGCCCTTTAGGGCGTCTTCATGAAGTACTAGGGGAAAGAGGTTGTATTGATTTGGGCATTCCAATACACAGAACTGTTGGAGACGTTCTGAACTTGGCCAGAACAAGGAAGCATCGACAACCTCTACTAAACCTAGTTGAAGCTGAAGTAAAGAAGCAAAAACAGAACCGACAACAGGGGTACCATGACGTTGCTTTATGGAAAGGAAAGAATGATGTTTATAAGAAGAACTTCTCAACAAAGGAGACATGGTCACAAATAAGAACTGCAAGGATGACAATGGAGGGTTACAAAGAAATATGGTTCCCGAAAGCCACACCGAAATATGCTTTTCTAACTTGGCTGCTGTTGAAAAATAGACTTGCAACAGGTGAGAGAATGCATAATGGAATCAGAATGCTAACACCAGTTGTGTTTTCTGGAACTACCCTTTGGAGACCAGAGAACATTTATTTTTCCATTGCACCTACTCGCAGAAGATTTGGGAAGAGCTAGTGAGAGGAATATTCAATGAACACTTCGCGGCGAACTGGAATGATGTGATGTTGATACTAGCCAGAAAAGATTTGGACAAGGTAAAGAGATTCCTTCTTGGATATACTTTCCAAAACACGATACACTCTATTTGGCGAGAGAGGAATAACAGACGACATGGCGAACCACCTTCTCCGACGGAAAGGCTGGTAAGACGGATAGACAAAAACGTGAGAAATCGGCTGTCTACGATCACAAGAGGAGGTGACCTCGATGGTGGCATCCAAACGTGGTTCGCAACAAGGCAATAAGAAAGTTAGACTCTTTTATTTAGAAATTTTAAAAAGTTTGCATTCAATGTATAAACGTTTATTTTTTCTTTGAATATAATTTAACATTAAATTCAAAAAAAAAAAAAGAATGGCCTACTTTTGACTTTAGAATTGTAGTATCGAGCTGCTGCTTGCTGGTAATTTTGTATCCGAATTAGAGCTTGATCTCGTCTTTCATTGATGGTATCCAGCGAGTCATCGAGCATCGCTGAATTCTCTTCCTCATTTAATGGTGCTTCTGTTCGGCGAAGGCCAGGCACGTTGAGTTCAGCCGGTACTACTCCATGCCGTAAACCAGAGAGAACGGAGTTTCCCCAGTAGGTCGTCTAGGAGTTGTACGATAGGCCCATAGGATGGGTTGGAGTTCATTATACCATCCTCCTTTTAGGTGACTCAGGCGATTTTTGAGATTGCTCAGAATTGTCTTGTTAACTGACTTTGATTCTCCATTCCGAACAAAAAGCCTCGAACTCGTGCGAGATGAACTGTGGTCCATTATAATTAACTATCTCGTATGGAACCCCATGTCGACATATGATATTTTTCCAAATGAAAGTATTCACCGCCGAATCTTTGATGCTAGCATATGCTTCAGCTTCAATCCATTTTGAAAAAGAGTCCGTCAAAACCAACAGGTATTGTACTCCTCGAGTTGATCTGTGCAATGGTCCAATGATATCCATCGACCACCTCATAAATGGGTACGGGGCGGAGATGGAGGAGAATAATTCCGAAGGTTGATGGATCAATGGTGCATGAAGTTGACAACGTTTACACCTTTGAGCGAATTTGACACAATCCGTGATCATAGTGGGCCAATAATAACCCATTCTTTTTATTTTAAAAGCCATAGCCCTTCCAGATGAATGACTGCCACAAAGCCCTTCATGTACTTCTCTCATGACGACTTCAACTTCGGGCCCAAAAATGCATAATAGGTAAGGGTCACTGACACCTCGCTTATACAACGTATCCTTTGATAGACAAAATTTTGCGCTAACGATTCTCATTTTCCTGGCTTGCCACTTATTTTTTGGGAACTCACCTGTCACGATGTAGTGCTTTATTGGCTCCCTCCAATCAGCTCCCCAATCTTTAGCCGGAATTTGGTCAATCTCATGAAATACTCGTGGTTCTGGTTCTGGATGTTCATTTGGTTCAAGGTCTGGTTCGGGATTGTCGTCTTCGATTAATGGTTCCGTCTCTATAACTGTTTCTAGAAGTATATCTGTCTCCTTGTTGTGTTTTTTTGACTTCCTCCGTTTAACAGGTGGCAGCTCGACCTCGGGCTCACCACGTTCACGCGCTGCTGCTCGAGATCTTGTAACAACGAGAGCTTCTTTGTCAGCTTTAATGCTTCGCTCCGAGATGCATTCCACCGGAATGATTATTTTCAGCTCAGGATCTGATGTTGACGCTAACGCGGCAAGTGCATCTGCGGTTGTGTTTCTCCTTGAGGTATGCGAATTAGTTCAAATTTATTGAAGTCTTTGGATAGACCCTTCACTACTTCGAGGTATGCTTCCATTCTCAAGTCTTTCGCTTCATAATCGCCATTGAACTGATTAACTACTAACTGTGAATCACAATAAGCAACCACATCTTCAGCTCCAACTCCTTGTGCCAGCTGAAGTCCGGCAATTAGTGTTTCATACTCTGCCTCATTGTTAGAAGCATTAAACAATAGGCGGAACTACTGTTCAAGAATTTCCGACGTTAGAAATTCCAACTTGATTCCTACCCCGGATCCTTATTTTGATGAAGATCCGTCTACGTACAGTTTCCAAGTCTGATTCTCTGGTTGTCCCGGTGTGCCTAGCACTGGTAGTTCGGTTAGAAAATCCGCCAAAACTTGAGCCTTCATGCTGACCCGGCTTTTATACTCTATATCATATTCACTTAGTTCCACTGCCCATTTTGCCAATCGTCCGGACTGATTTGGACTATGAAGTATTGTTCGGAGTGGCTGGTTGGTTAACACTTCGATTGGATGAGATTGAAAGTATGGACGTAGCTTTCGGGCTGAAGTTACTACTGCAAGTGCGAGCTTCTCCATCATTGTATACCTTGTTTCTGGATCTGTCATTGACTTACTTATGTAGTAAATTGGCTTTTGCTCTCCGCGATCCTCCCGGACCAAGACTCCACTAACTGCATGATTTGACACTGAAACATATAAATAGAGCTTCTCGTCCACTTCGGGTTTAGACAACACAGGTGGAGTAGTCAGGTACGCTTTAAGCTGTCCGAAGGCTACTTCACACTTCTCATCCCAAATGAATCCTTTGTTTCCCTTCGAGATTTGATAAAAAGGTAAAGATTTATCCATTGATCTTGAAATAAACCGGTTTAGAGCTGCAATCCGACCAGTCAAACGCTGTACTTCTTTGAAGTTCTTTGGAGATGACATGTTTAGAAAGGCATTGATTTGGTTTGGATTGGCTTCAATTCCTCTTTTCGTCACAATATAACCAAGGAATTCTCCGGGTGGGACTCCGAACGTGCACTTCGCTGGGTTCAGCTTCATTTGATACTGGTTGAAAATCTCGAAACATTCCTCCAAATGCTTAACGTGATCCTCTTTTTTCAACGACTTAACCAACATATCATCTATGTAGACTTCTATTGTCTTTCCGAGGTGCTTATGGAACATTTTATTGACCAACCGTTGATAAGTTGCTCCTGCATTTTTTAAACCAAAGGGCATTACCTTATAATAATAAGTACCTCTATCCGTGATAAACGACGTTTTTTCTTGGTCCTCAGGATTCATCATTATTTGATTATAACCCGAAAAAGCGTCCATGAAGGTTATAATTCATTCCCAGCGGTAGATTCCACGAGCCGGTCTATATGCGGGAGCGGGAAACTATCTTTTGGACATACTTTATTGAGGTCGGTGAAGTCAATGCACACCCTGTCTTTTCCATTCTTCTTTTCGACCACGACGGTGTTTGCCACCCACTTCGGGTACTGCACCTCCCTTATAGACCCTATCTTTAAAAGTTTGTCCACTTCGTCATTTACGGCTTTTGCTCGTTCGACTCCGAGCTTTCTCCTTTTTTGTTTAACAGGCTTGAAGCTTGGATCAACGTTTAGTTCATGACAAATTATGCTTGGATCTATGCCAGGCATATCCGCTGCCGACCATGCGAATGACATCTTGTTTTTCCTCAAGAGTTCGATCAAAGATTCTTTAATTTCGCAAGTCAAAGTAGCTCCAATTCGGATTTTCCGATTTGGTTTGTCTTCTTCTAATACTACTTCGATTACTACATCATCCTCTTTCTGCCCACTAGGAAATCTTGGAACTATTCCCTTCTTCGCAGGTTTCGTTAATTGCTATTGGATCTTCAGTCGGTGACATAACACGTTCGTGAAGCTTCTTGATTTCCTCGAATTGTTTCCACTCCACTAAGAGTTGGAAATTTGATGCATTGATGATATGTTGAGGGGACTGCCTTCATTTGATAAATCCATGGAGTCCCAAGGATGATGTTGTAAGCTACCGGTTTATCAAAAACAACGAAGACTACGATTTTTGACACCCTTTTGGCAAGAACTGGCAGCTTGATCGTTCCGAGAGACATGGCTGACTCACTTGTGAATGCCACTAAAGGAGATGGAGGTCCCACTATGTCTGCCCGACTGATTCCCATTCTTTCCAAAGTACCTAAAACGATTAAATCGACCGAACTGCCCGTATCGATGAGAATCCTCGACAATTCGAAGTTGGCAACATCTAGGGTAATGGCTAGGGCGTCATCATGAGGTCTTTCGAGGTGACGTGTTTCTTCTTCATCGAATAATATTGACGCACCTTGAAAGTCAACTTCTTCGCCCAGGCTTGTCTTGAGTGAGAGATTTCGCCTATGCTTTTTTATGGCACTGATCGTATCTCGGCAAAGTTTGGAACCTCCAAAGATTACATTGATTTTTCCCTTCGAACTCCTAGGTTCTTCTTCATTGGACAACCTTGGTCTTTTTATGTTCTGATCTTTGGAGTTATCTTTCGCTTCGTGGTATTCCTTCACGAAATTTTCTATCTTGAATTTGGAAAGATCTCCACTGGCCCATAGTTCTTCGAGATGCTTTTTGAGGACACTACAGTCTTTGGTTAAGTGTTCGGTTACCTTATGGATGTCACAATACAAACTTTCGTCACGGACCCAAGTGTTTGACCTCGCCTTTCCTTGAAATTGCTTCCCGACGGTATTGTTGAAGGTTTGCGATCCAAACTTTTTTGGTCCTTGGTTCTCCCTAGGCTCAAACTTTTTGGTAGGGAAGGTGACCACTGGTTTCGCTTGTTTGTTCCTTTTCGCAAAACTCTCTTTTTCGTCTTCTACTTCCATCCAATTGTTTGCACAGAAAAGTGCATCTTGAATCGTATCCGGTTTGTGAAGTATTAGATCCTCTTTGAACCTTGAATCATGCCACAAACCTTTTCGTAGGGCAGACAAAGCTGACTGCTGCGAGATTCTTGGGAGTTTTGATAGCACCCCCTTGAATTTGGTAATGAAAGCTCTAAGTGACTCATTCGGCCCTTGTGTTAGATTCCAAAGGTCAGCATCTGAAACGATTTTATCCATAAGGATAGAATATTGTTTTAGGAACACGGCCGACAACTCGTCAAAATTAATTATTGAGCCTGGTTCCAGCTGGGTGAACCACATTAGTGCTTGACCGCAAAGGTTTTCCGAGAAGAGTTTGCAATATCATGCATCCTCATCAGCTTCATCCAATTCGACTCTTCCAGCAGCAATCAGAAAAGCTGCGAGATAGCTCTTTGGATCTTCCAGTCCACTATAGGATCCAGTTTGAGTTTCCGAGAATCTTTGATTCTCAAATTTACGATTCGCGGGATGAAAGGTGTTCGCCTAGCTTCCTCAATGACTCGGTTGATATCCGGCTCCAAACTAGTGGCCTGGTGGAACTTTGATTTCATTTCTTTTAGTTCCTGGCTAACCTTTCTCATGGTTTCGAACTGGTCGAAGCTTTCTTGCTCGTACTGATCCGCAAGCTGATCTTCATCTCCGAGCTGCGTCTCCCCTTCCACCGGTTGAATTGCTGGGTTAGGAGTTGTTTGTTCGTTGGTCTCATTTCGCACAAGGGAGCTTGGCGAATTGAACATACTTCTTCGGACTCCATCAGTATTTCCTTCACTTAGAGAACGAACACGAGATTGTATAGTATTGACGCTTTGACCAAGAGATACCTGGGTTGTTTTTAGTGTGTCCACAGCCTTTTCCACGTCCGAGAACTTCTGTGATATTTCCGACATGGTTTGCTGCATGGCCTTGAGAGTTTCAGCTACTGACGAGTCAGGGGTGCTTCCTCCAGACATTGCTGCTTATCTCGGAAATGTAGTGAAGAAAATCTGACAACTCAAGAATCTTCTGTCCCCACAGGCGGCGCCAAAATATGGACGTCGGATTCACACACTCAAATATTTGTTTATTTAGTGGGAAAGATTATTCTTGAAGACAAAATTTGATATGTAAAAGCTATGAATTGTAATGGAAATGACTATAATATAATTGCTAGAAAAATTGCGTGTCCTTTACATGGCTCTTGGCCCTATTACTTATACTAACAAACAACATTTAACTCCCAATTAAATGCAATTATTCACTCTTAAATATGTTTGTTACAATCTTTGAGTTTAATGCTCCAACGTTCGAATTTTGAATTAATCTCGATCTCCATGGGCTTTGCCCCCTTTAGCCCAAAAAGTCTCGAAATGGACTTCGACTCTGTCCTCATCTTGAGGTGCCACCACTTCGACCCTTCTCTGTGATTTAACCATCTCGACCACGTTCTTGGGCTTGTAAGTCTAACGGGCTTTATGCTCCCCGGGATTCTATCCTGCCTATGTGGCAATCTTTGGTTGGTCCCTGTGAGACCCCGTCCCGGACGTCTCGGCGTCCAGCGACCATGGTCACACGTTCGTGCCTCTTCCCGGCCGAACCTCCATATTTTTTGCGATTTCACATAGAATTGCCTTTACGAGGCTTACTTCTGTAATCGCTTTCTTAGTACCCAGCGGAAGTCTTTCTACCCTTGGTTTAATTCCAACCAACCCTTGTACCGGTTTGATCATCTTTGTCCATTAGACTTTAGATCGATCATTAACTCGGCCAAGTCATGCAATTTGTTCGCTAACCATTCTAAGTCTAACGATTGCATATTCTTTGTATCCCTAATCCAACGGCCAATTCCCAAACGTCTATCTTAACTAATAAGTTAGATGCATTTACATACCTTGGCCTACATGCGGATTTGATTCCTCTTCGATCCGTCTATTGATCCTTCTCTTAGCCCTCTCGTCGCCTTATTCCATTCGTACAACGATTCTTAACCAATCGTGTATTGATAGACCAATCTCTATCGTTACTTAGCCATTCATCCAACCAACCCCACTGGTCTAAGTCCCTACGATAGAGATTGGGGATCGTACGTTTTCCTTGGTTCACGGTGGCCAAATCAAGCTCTTGGCTCATTGGTCCATCCGTCCTCCAAACGTACACCCCTTCGGTTTGATGGTGGACGATCAAGCCCTCGGCTTATCGAACCATCCATGTTTCCGATCCGATCGTTTATCACTACGACCGCCCACGGTCTACTAACCGTTTACTCGTACGGTCCATGGTGGTCATAACGCCTTCGGCTTACCGATCCATCCATGCGATCCGAACAATATCATTATCACACCCAAGGGTAGCCCATGAAATCATTCGTCGGATTATCGTAGGCTAGCCCATGAAATCATTCGTCCGTCGGCATTTGGTTTGCTCGCGGGTCCAATATCCGTTTTGTCCACCGGTTCTCACTGTGGACTTTCCCGTTGGTTATCCGTCGAGTCACCATTGGCGTTACCGATTCCTAATCGGTTTCACCATCGGCCATGGCGATTGATACATGAAGGCGGCCGCGATATTAGATCCTTACATGGTGAACCACGTCACTTACCCATTCTCGGTGCTTACTCCCTTTACCGGTGAGATTGCATCCATGGGCGACCCTTGGGTGTGTTCGGTTGCACTTATCCTCGTGCTTCTTCGAACACCTTCCCCTTATACGCCTTCCCGATTAACTTCCCGTTAACCATATCATCTATCGGACTATCTTTGGATTCGTCAATACTTCCATATTGACAATCTTAGATTTGCCGATCCATTTCCTTTTCGTGTCCTTCCCTCGACGATATGATTCATAGAACGGACGATCCATCGACCCCATAATCGAGCTATCGACCCGAACCATCAATCAAGTCGTCAAACCCTTTGGCGGTTCCCATCGAATCCTCGATCATGTAATCCGCCATGTTCCCTCGACAAGATCTCCGATACATACCATCGGTCATCCCGCCGATCGGTACGATCGATCAATCCGCCGATCTAAACCTTTATTTGCTTATCCGATCGTACACCTATCCGGTCATACGTCGATCCGACTTGTTGACACGACGATCGATCTGCCTATCCCGGTCGATCGATCCGTCTGTGCGATGGTCTATCCGGATCCGTCTTCTTCTCCGATCCGATCCATCCATACGACGAGCAGTTTGTCTGATCCGCTCCGTCTCTAAGACGATCGGTCCATCCCATCCATCCCTCAATACATTCTATCAAACCGTTGGATCGGGAGGTAGCATGCGCATCAGTTCGGTCGAGGCTCCGAGAATCCATTCCGATTTCGGAGATACTCGCCGAGCCGCACCCCCTTTCCGACGAACACTTCGTAGAGTGTTTTGGGACCCCGTTTGGGTTGTGATGGTGATTGTGAAGTGTATGTGGATTGATTGTGAAGCCCTTGGACGTCCTCCCTTATATAGGGGCCGAATGGGTGTGTTTCCGAAACATCACATCCATTCGTTGCACCCTTTCGAAAGGTTGCGTCTTTCCGATCGTAACCGTTCGGCCTTATCCACCCTTTGGCCAACGGTAACCGTTCGTCGGTAACCGCTCGACCTTACACCTCTTCATCCCGAGCTACCACAGTCCACCAGCTCGAGTGTCAGCTGACCGGACCACCCAGCTGAGTTAGTACTCGATCAGTTCACCGAGCTCGGTTGAGCTGTCGGTCAGCTCACCTAGCTGAGCTAGCTAGTCATGCAGCTGGTTTAGCTCACCTAGCTGAGCTAGCTATTTCATCCAGCTTGTCCAGCTCACCTAGCTGGTTTAGCTCGAACGTTCTTTCGCGTTCTTTCCGGCTAAGTCTTTTGGTCCGTTTTCTTGGCCTTGACTACGCCATTCCCAATCTTTCCGTGATAATTTCTCCATGATCACTAGATTATCCCGATGTCGTCTATGTCATCTACCCTTTTCATGACTTAAACGTTTCATTCCTTCCTTGGGTTAGCTTATTCATTGGTCTTTCTCGACCATGATCTAGTTTTTCCTAAAACAAACTGGCCCCCCTTTAGGATCGCGGGACGCGGGTGTTACAAGTCTACCCCCTTAAAATGAATTCGTCCTCGAATTCGGCGGGTGTTAGAGTTTCGTTACTCGTTAACGTTTCCCCATCTTTAGTCTTCCCAAGACTTTAGATTCCATACTTGACCAAATATCTATTTCCGAGTTTGATCAAGTTTCCCCGATCTTGGTCTTTTCCGACACACGATCAAATTTCTAGATCTTGGTCCTTTCTTGGACTCAATCAAATTCTCGATCTCTGTCCTTTCTCGGACTCGATCCATTTTTCCGATCTTGGTCCATTTCTCGGACTCAATCAAATGTAACCCGTTGATATCTCTGTATTTTACCTCTTTTTAGCATACATTTGCTATGCATTTAGCTTAGTATTCACTCTTATTTACTGCCATTTGTAGTCATTTTGCATCACTTTGCATACTTAGAGTATTCTACATTAGCATAGCATGCATTCTTGCATTTTGTAGTTGTATCTGGTACATTCAGGTACTAAGGAGCAGTGCCAGAGCAGTGCAAGAGCAGTGCCAGAGCAGTTCCAGAGTACTGTACTCGAGCAGTGTACTCGAGCAGAGCCAGAGCAGTGTACTCGAGCAGTGCAAGAGCAGTGCCAGAGCAGTTCCAGAGTAGTGTACTCGAGCAGTGTACTCGAGCAGAGCCAGAGCAGTGTACTCGAGCAGATTTCTGAAGAGAAGAGCAAGACATACTCGACCAACCTACTCGAACAGGCTACTCGAACTGGACCTGAGAGACTTACCCGAGCAAGATGCAACCTTTGAAGAATGGAATACTCGACCAAGCCACTCGAGTACCAGCTCGAGTAGACCCTAAACCGACTTTCTATTTTGTCGTTTTGTGTACTAGGGTTTTCTACTTTTGCTATAAATAGACCTCTTAGGGCTTTGCCCAAAGGATCTCGTTTTTAGCTTTTGAGCAATATTTTCTGCAACTTTTTGTAATCCAAATTACTTTTGATCCTTTGAGTTTTTGCAATTATTTCCTTCTGCAAAGTTGTTTATCTTGCTTTGATCTACAACATATGATGTTTTTAGCGATTTCTGGGTTTGTGCAATTTTCTGGGTTTGTGTTCTTGAGCATGTCTGAGTAGTGGATTAGGGTTCTTGAGGATGGGATAGATTAGGTGTGGAATCCTTAGTTTATTTAGGTGGTTAAGTGTAGAATTGCTTGAATCCCTTCTGGATTAGTAGTACTTAGTGCTTATTCCTTTCTGATCAACTGGGATTTGAACCCAGACATTTCC